CACACCCACAAGTTGTGCCCTCCTGGGTGAATACCTTGGTGCTGCATTCATGTCACTGCAGCACACAGAGAGTTCCAGAGTTGCCCTGTCAGCAAAGCTCAATTCCATCACACGCGGGTAACTGTTGTCACATTCTTTCCAGAACTTCTCCAACACGAGCATCTTCTACAGCTCCACAGTGTGAAATCATTCTTGAAGTCAACACGCATTAGAAATCAGAACACGTCACAGTGTGGCATGAGAATGTGTTTCAGAGTGCAATATGGTTTCAGGAAGCATCTCTGAGCTAACTCAGCATTTTCACTCAAAGATGGGTGGAGGTGATTAAAGAGGGAGGTGAAACACGATATTATTGGTTAACATTTTTCTTCACCCGCTGGTGCACAGGACGATCAAAACAGAAGGATGAGAGGAAAACAAGAAGTTTGTGTTTTATATGACACATAACACAAAGAATCATGCTTAATATCAACATGTAGCTTAATAAGCCATGAAATAAGAAGGTAAAAACCAAACATGAATATCAAATTGATTTTACACATGTGACACTGTAACTTAAAGGGTCTGTACTCTACATTTTCTTTTCTTTTTTATTTTTTACCCTGAGGTCCACTTATAACATTTGTGTTGCTTTACGCACCAAAAACAGCCATCATTTATTTTTACTTTTCTGTTTTCCACCCTCTCTCTTATGCCTTACAATTAAACAGGATGTTTCTGTTACTGTCCCTTTAAGACCGATATGCAAATGATCTCAGTACTGACTGGCTGCCCTGTCTTGTGCCTTATTCAAAAAAGCAGTCCAGGCTGAAACGGTCCCTTATAACATTACTGTGAATGAGTGGGGCTAAACTGCTGTAGGCTGATCGTGTATGGATGTATGCGTGTAATTACACAGATTTTCACAAAAACAATTAATTTAAAATGGGGTGTTTATGCAGCCTAGTTTTCATGTTTGGATTGGAGAGCGAATGGTTACAGTTGTCCTTAACAGAGTCTAATGAGTATTTAAAAAAAGCAAAGACAATTCTGTTTTTCCAGAATATGAGCCCTTTATGTGCCCACAAAATGAAGTGTATTTACTACACCTACCCTTCAGACTGACAACAGGTCGCAACTGATACAGTCTGCTTGAGAAGAAGCTTCATATTCACCATCTGCAACCACTTACTTACTCTACATTTGATCAGACTGAACTTTGGCCCCAAATAAACAGCTTTTCACTGAGTGACAACAGGAATCAGCAGTCCTTAAGGATTTTTCCATATTCAAACCCTCTGTGGTGACAGGAAATGGAGGTGGAAGACAAAGAACCTTCACCCAGTTGCTGTAGCCATGTGTCAATTTCTAGCGTTTCCTGTTTATTATAGGACTCCATCTTTGATGTCTTGGGTATGGCAGTCAGAGCATTCAGACACACTAGACAGGCCTATCCATGCTCTCTTAAAGCAAGGCTTATTTTAGCAGTTAAAGACGCCCGAGATTCAGGCTGGTTGTAACTAGAATTTACATTAAATAACAGTTTATTTTTAGAAGACCTAGAAGAGCTAAGAGTTAGCATGTTAGCATGTAGGCTAAGGGTAATCATTCCCAGGAGGACCATAGCAATACCGTGCTGGCATTATTCCAATAAAAGTAACAATACACATACCTTTAAAGTTCGACACAATTTGATTTCGAGATCAAGACCTGATTTTCAATAAATGGAGACAACTGAAGAACTTTAAGAGTTTTAATTTTACAAATCTCAAAATATATCATCGCTGTCCAAAGAAAAACATGTAACTCCGATTTTTTTTTTTACCTTTCCACATCATTTGAATGTGGCAGCTGTCCTTTACATCGTGTGATGATGTTTCATGATGAATAGACCAAATGTAATGCTTCAAAACAGCTCGGGATAAAATCTCCTTACATTAACTTATATTAAGAGTAAAGAACATTTTTGCCTTCTCCTGTAAATTTTCCACTTTGGAGATACTTGTTTTACTTTGGACTGCGACGATATATACTACACAGACTGGTTTTGCCTCAAATGCCAGCCCACTGACAAAACAAGCCCCCAAAAATTGCCACCTATAGAATTTACAAGCCAGCACAAGCCCCACCCACTTTACTCTGATAGGACTCATCCAGATGCCTCAGTGACAACAGTTTCCACAAAAAGATGCGCAAAAAAAGGGGTTAATTTTTTCTATACTGTATTGAAACCATCACACCCTCACAAAAAAAACTCTACCATTACCAGTTACCTCATTTCTCATCTTGATCCCAGTTTAAACTGAAGGCCGTTATCCTTTCACTGCTCGGCTCTGGACGATTCAAATGCCAAGTAAGACCGCAAGGATCTTTCAAGATCACCACCACCTGCGAGATGGACTGCATCATCAATACTAAACCTATTTCACTAAAAGCTCTCCAACTGTCATGCACTTGATCTTTAGTCAGCAAAGTCATGCCTGTCTGACTACATTATTCTTCAATGCTTCTCTCGTGGAGTACAGCACTCCTCCGCAGGCTAGTCCACGGCCCTCCATGAGATTCAAAGAGACACGTCCCCTATTACACACCAAGGGGTGCCAAGAGTTTACGGTGGTGCTCAACAGACAGGGAAGATGGACTGCCGGGGCTCAACAACACCTGTCCTGCACCACTTATAAAAATTATTGTGGATCGGGCAGGTTTGGTAAGATTGTTACACAAATTTACTGATGTAATCATAAAAGGGGAAAACACACCCAAACTCCAGTGACTCTTACACAATGACGTAATAATTCAATAGAAAAAAACTGATCAACAAATGTAAGAAAGCTGACCTCCAACAGAACAATGTTTGCAAACAATCTTGTGGATCCTGCCGATGCAAATGAGCTTTTTCTAAAATATGTTTATCTACGTAGATCATCCTCAGAATGGCATTCATAGAAACTGACTGTACTGTCATTAAAACGTAAGATGCCTGAATGTTAATACCCAAGTAGCCTAAATGTTTCCCCCCACTTGAGTTCTGAGCCACTCATTACATTAACCAAAACAAACAAACAAACATGGCTGCAGTTTCAAGTAACTAACTGTTTTCATTTTTTTAAGACAAGAAAGCATCACAGTCCAGCACCCTAAACGTCAGCACCCTCACATTCTCCTCAACGAGTCATGCACTGACCAAACGACAGTATACCTATCTGAAAGTGCAGTAGTGGCAAACAAACACTACGAAAAGGTCAGCAGAGAAGTCAACCCTAAGACACGGTTAAACCATGTGGTGAAATGCACAAATCAGATTTGGGCCCGTATTCAAGCTTCTCTGCGTAGGAGTGCTCTCTTGTTTACTCCGACCTAACTTACAGGAACAGATCCTAGAGCAACACCTCCTACTCTGAGAAGCTTTATGAAATGCTGGCCCAGGTTAACTGTTAGTGATTGTCACTTCTACTAAAAGTAAAAGATCACACAATACAGGATGGTGGCGTAAGAGTAGTGAAATGTTGACTCATCTCAGCTCAAGAATTTCTAGGAAAGGTAAAAATATAAATAAATAATGACCACTCAGCAACACCTAAGCCTAGGCTGAAGGTAGTATATGGGTAAATAAAACTAGCCATTAAAAGAACAGTGTGTCCTTCAGGAACTACCCAGCACATCTCAGCTGGCTCTTTCTGATCTGCACCTCTCCGCTAGTTCAATCAAGATCGCTCTTCCAAAAAAATTGGAAATAGTAGCACGGTTTATGGGCAGACAGCGCAAAAGAGGAACTTCTGCCCAGAAAACCAACTGTTTCTCATCTTGCATGATCCGAACTCGACAGTCTGCAAGATAACCCCACCTTTGTAGATGTTTTCTGTGTTTATGACAAGCCAGATCGTTTTAAGGGTGATAAAGGACGGGCTGGCAGCTAAGAAGATCCTGCTGTGTAAGAAGTCCACCGGCATAAGTACCAACATAAGCCTCTTCAGCTTAGATGGCAATCGTGTTATCATAAAATCGCTTTAAAACATTAAAAACACAAATGGCAGAAAGAAAGTTTTATTTCTGGTCAAAAACACAGCAAAATCGATCTAAAGGGTGAAAGAGATTCGTTCGCTTTGGATCTTAATCTGAACGTCCATCATCAAAAAAACGACTCTAAAACGAACTTTTCGCGTATCCGAAAAGCAAAAATAAAGCTCCTGAATGTCTAATCGAGATATTCACTCTCAGACATCGGTTTAAACTGCTTAAACTTAGTCCTCACAGCGAGTCTTACCGGTGCGCTGGTTAGCCAGATAGCTAACTAGCCCGCTAACTAACCGATAGGCTTGCTGAGAGCTAACCTAGCCAGCTAGCAAACTTGTTCGTCGATAAGAGCAATGAACTTTTGACAAAGGTGGGCTACAGCGTTAACCCCCATTTTACCTTTTCGCACATTTACTATGAAATTTCTCAAAAATGGCAACTACAGCAGGCTGTTAAAACTTGTTAACTTTACTAGCGACCAACTCCATTGAACCGCAGCCAGCTAGCAGCGGCTAACGCGGCTGAGAGCGAACGGACAGACGGACAATGTTCACTCACACAATCGTCAAAAAACAGCTAAGTTAGCAGGCTAGCCCCGATTATCACCGTTCTCTAATGAGGCGGATTAAAAAAGACCGACTAATTAATTAACCATTTCGGAAGAATTCACGCTCTAAAGTTACCCGGTTACGTTATCGAGACATCAGTTAGACTAATCTGCAAGAATCCCTGAACAATTTCTCGTTTTTTACCATATGTGATTATCGATTTCCTGAAGTGTGGCTAATTAAAGAGCAGACCGACACACAGCTAGCTAAGCTATCACCGCTAGCCAGTATGCTAACTTATCTCTCAATCTCTAGTCTTTCTCTGTGTCGTCTGTTAGCCTTAGCCTAGCCAGCCAAGCTCTCGTCAACTTGTGAAGAACTTCAGTTTACATAAAATCCCGTAAAAGAAACCGACTCCCGCCCGCCCCTCCAAAATACACCCCGAGAACGGTAGCTCACCGAGAAGGGGAGATGCTAGACGCCTTTCCGGTGACCTCAGTGCGGTGAAGTTTTCTCTGCTAGCTCGTAATCTGTCTGAGGAGTCCCGGAGATCCCCGCCGCCGCCGCTCCGGTTCCGAATGAGCTGCGAGCGGCTCAAACGCACGGAGCCGCGGACACACTGCAGGGCGCATGCGCAGTGAGCAGCACTGAGAGGACAGTGACCAGAGTCTTCGCATCTGAACGAGGATTATAACCTCTCACTGAATCTGACTTTCTCTTCTAATCTAGACAACTTTAAACCAGCATAACCAGATGTGGGCGGAGTAGCCTAAAGCCCAGGGTTGGGAGGGTTACTTTAGAAATGTATTCAGTTACAGACTCATGATTATCTGTTAAAAAATGTAATTGTAACCTAATCCGAAGGATTACCGTTAGAAAGTAATGTAATCTGATTACTTTACGTTACTTTTGGATTTCTTGGCTTTAATTAAAGGTGTTTATTTAAATAAAGGAAAAAGGTAAATAATGTCAAGACTTTTTAACGTTCAGTAATTTAACAACACACGTCAAACACAAAAACTGCACTGTTTTATGAAACAGAATGATAAATTATAGGTGACTTAAATATTGTGCCTCACAGAAACAGTCAGTGATCTCACTTTTAGCGAAACGGCCAAGTCTAATATATGAAAATACGTAAATTATAAAGATGACAGATTACACATTTGTGTAACAGTTTACTTTGAGTTTAGGCATGTTTGCTCAAACCTTGAAGTTTAAAAATCAAGATTTGCTTCCCAGCAACAAAAATTGTGTGATTTCAACAAGAAAAAAAAGACTGAAACACATGGGAACAAGTAATCAGTGTATAATGATCCAGTCCATTGGATGAAATGCAAATATTAAAAAACTATACTGCGGTCCTAAAACTGTTCTTTATTAAAAATCTATTGTTATTCATGCCAAAGCCAAAAGATCAATCTGGTGAAAATCTTCTTTTGAGACTCCATAAATAGAGGCCTTTCTATAAACTCTGACTGCCCATCATGTGTGTTTATCTGCTAAAAATTTTCATGTTGGTGCATCGTGATTGGACTTTGATGATGGTAATTTTTAGACGCTCCCTAATCAGCTCTCAGAAATCCTATGAGTTTAAATAGGCATTAAAATAGGCACTAAGTGTGAGCTGATCGTCTTAGTTACAAATAATGATTATTTACACATGTTAATATTTCGAACTACTGAAGAAAGAAATCATACAAGTGAAAACGAAACTATCTGCTGACTTAATTCACTCTCTGTTCACATTTAACGCTGTTAGTTAAAACCTGTCAGGTTTAAGTTTTCAAAAGTTTGATTTATAATCAGTCAAACCGTAGAACTGTACGGAGCAACAGACGAAAATAAAGAGTTTACTATCACTATTATGAGACACTAAGTCAAGATTATGAGATACTAAGTCATAGTTATGAGATACTAAGTCATAATTCTGGAAAACCTTTTCATTATAATGACTTACAACAGGGCTGTATATTTTTTTGAGTGTCAGAAAAGGGCTGTGCAAAACAACAGCACAGCTGTGCAAAAGTGGGACTGTTTTCATTTCAGATGGGTTTTTTCCAGGCGAAGTGGGACAGTGACAGTATGTCTGGTTTAAAGGGGAATTCCACAGATTTTTTAAAATTGCAGCAACTCAATCACTATAATGAAAACAAGGCCATTAAGATTAGTATGATATGTAATTGTGTATACAAGATCTTTAAGAATATATACATATATATGTTCTTTTTTTTAGGCCAAAACCTTATCACAAAACTATCATAGAACAACATTTCGGGCATCAGCCAGTGTATTCCTGGCCATTTAATGCACCAACTTCCTGTGAGGGAGCTTTTAGAGGCATTAAATATTTTGGATGTCTGGTTCCTATCACCACCACTGAGAACAATTCTGACTCTGCAAGTGTCTCTAGAACAGAGCATTTCGCACCAAACCACTCTGAATGACTTTATTTACATCTTAATCGTTTAATTATGTAGAAATTCCCTTTTAAGCTTAAAGGAAATGTATCTACTGGAAATACAGCAACCGCCTCTGCTTTTTCTGCTTTTCCTGGTCGTTCTGGTTTAGATGCCATCATGAGTTATTTTTATGATGATTCCAGGCCAATGAAAACAAACGCTGAATGGTGAGCACGTCTGTGGTGATTGTTCATGACGGTTATATTTGACTGACTCTTGTCACTCAAAGAGCAATACAGCGTGAAGCTTTGAAGTCTGCCCCACTTTACCTGAGGTATAACGTAAAAAATAAAAGTACCTTTTCAGAAACAACTTAGAAGTACAAAAGTAGCAGCTCAAAAATAACTTAAAGACCCAAATCCTACATTTTCTTGTACTTATTTTTTTTTGCTTTCCCATTTGTGTAGTTTATGTACCAAAAATGGTCTAATTGATTTTTACATGACCGTTTCCCAACATCTCTTCATCTCTTAGAATTAAAGAGGCTGTTTTTTTTTACTGTACCTTTAAAACTGATATAAGACAAATTGCCTCTGTTCTAATTAGCTGCCCTGTATTGTGCAGCATTCAAAAAGCAGAAACACTACTTATAATTTCAATATGAACATGTGAAGCTAAATTGTAAGCCGAAAAGTTGATTATATGTAAATGAATTGGTCCTTGTGACGTCACAGAAACAGTTTATTTAAAACAGGCTATCTTTGAAGCTTAGTTTCCATATATGGACTATATGGACTGGGTAGTGAATAATATGTTTTGAAACTTTAACAATGTTTACATATTATTGCAGAATCCTCTATTTCCAAAAATGAGGGAAATCCATTTTTCCACGATATGGACCCTTAAAGTACTTAACATTGTACAGAACTGCAGTGGAACTTCTACATCCAGTATCAATCAGCACAGGACCTGCAGTTTGTTGGGATCCATGTGTCTCAATTTGATTCACTCTTAATAAATAAGCCTCAAAAAAGCAGCACAGACGCTGTCTCCAACAGAGCGTAATTTAATTAAACACTAGAAAGAAATTAGTAACTAAACATTAATAACTGAAGTGTAACTGAAAAGTACTCAGACTATTTATTCAGCCTACAACGGTTTAGCTCCACCCGTTTTAGCGTTGAGTGCTTTTTGAATGAGGCACAACACAGGGCAGCCAATCAGAACAGAGCTCATTTACATATATCAGTTTTCTGAGTGATTCTGAGAGATAAAGAGAGGTTGGAATATGGTCATGAATTAAAAATATGTTGACTGTTTTATGACTATTTATCTACAACTTTTCAATATGTAAAACCTCACAAATGTTATAAGTGGACCTCTCATACTGATACTGACCCTGTAGCCTTTGCAGGTTTTACAGACAACTTTAATTAAGAATTATGAACTCCTATTATAACTTCTCACGCTGATATTGACCAAGGACTATATTACTATATACTATTATACAAAACTGCAACACAACTATCACATAACTATCACCATCACATGCACAAGAACAGTATGTAATATGTTTTAGAGTTTACATTAAGCAAATGTCTACAAGTATTTAGATGCCTTATAACTAGTGAATTCAGCTACTTTAAGGTGCACTCATTGCTGACACAGGTGTTCAGTTGTGCACACAGCTTGTATAATCTCCATAGAAAAACATTGCCAAACATCTGCTAGAGGGGTATAAAGCCCCCCAGCATTGGGCTGTGGTGCTGTTGAACTGCATTCTGTGGAGTGATGGAGCTCCATACAATACCTTTGGGATGAGTCAGAGTGATCCAGAATTAATCATCCAGCATCAGTACCTGACCTCACTGATACTCTTGTGGCTGAATGCAATCAAATCCTCACAACAATGTTTGAACATCTAATGTAAAGTCTTCCCAGAGCAGTAGAGGCTGTTACTGCAGCAAAGCAGGACAAACTCCCTATTTTTTTTCTTTTATTAAAGCATCGACACATACAAACAAGTAAGAGGTAGCAACCATTTAAAAGAAATGTAATACAACATAATGATGAAATTCAGCACAGAAGGAGCCAAAGACTGGTGATTTATCAGTTCATTTACGTTAGTGGATAAATAATTTGGACATAAGAATAACAGTGTTAATAAAAAGGTGTTGGATGAGCAAATGTCTACAAAACGTTTGGATACAGAGTGAAAATGTAGAGTTTTATTCCAAAACGAAATAAAGGTATGACTGTCTCTGGGGTAGTGCCCCTCTTGTCACTGGGCTGGTACCCTCAAGGGTACATCTCACTACCTTTAGTCAGGGAACATAATTGTACCATAATCCAGTGAAATCATGTTTTCTAAGTTGTATTGACTCCACACCCCGTCTCGTCTCCAGGCTTTTATTTTATTTTATTGTTCTGTTTTAAAACATTCGGTTATGAAAACGTACAAATATATACTTTTCACCTGGAAAAACCTATTTAAGGTACACAATTAGACCTTAAAACCACTGTAGTACCTTTGAGGGCACATTTACATTGTTTTTACCTTAATGAATGAAAAATGTACCTGCACAGAACCTTTATTACTAAATATCCATTCATCTATCTTTTAAGCCACTTAACCTTCTGGGTCACGGAGGGCACTGGAGCCTCTCCCAGCGTTCATTGGGCCGAAGGCAGGAAACACACTGGCCAGGTCGCCAGTCCGTCTTGGGGCAGACACACAGACATACACATTCACACTTAGGGCATTTTAACATCTCCAGTTGGTCCCGCACAGACACAGGGAGAACACACAAACTCCACATGGAAAGGACCCTGGTCGCCCAGCTGGGGAATCGAACCCAGGCATTTCTTGAGGCGACAGCAGTACCCACTGTGCCACCGTGACACCTGGTATAGACTTCAAGAATTTTTTTTTACTTTTATTGAATGATATAGATTGTTAGCAGTGGGCTTTACACATATTGGAAATATCAATGTTATATTATGATTGATAACACCTTTATTAGAGAAATAAAACGTTTTTTCAGCTTGTTGTTCTTTTCAAAAACTCATTCTATCCAAAACTGCTACAAATCTAAACACAGCATTTTGGATTAAACTCTTCTTATATAGTCTTTAAAACAGTGAGACCTCTGATTGATGCTCTAGGTTGCATTTGTAAGCCACTTATCTTCCTGGGTCATGGGGGTGCTGGAGCCTATCCCAGTGGTCATTGGGAGGAAAG